ACATGCATGTGCCTTCTTCCAAAAAATAACTGTTTGACCAAAAATTTGAATCCATGAGCACTTGTTGTAGATACCATGATACTTCTTTATTACCTTCATGAAAGATTCAGATGGTATCACACATCACTAGCTTGGCCCCATATTTTCCATCCCATGTTCTGACATGCTGACTGCATTAGCATTGTCTTTTATACCAATAATGTCTTTTACAGCAGAACTCCCCGTGGGGAAAAGAAATCTTTGAAGCTACCCATTCAAATCTTCAAAGAAGGACCTTGAAGAGCACTCACAGGGAGAGTGTGGGAAAGTCTGGACAGAGGATAATGCTATAAAGCTGGCTTTCCCCCTTTTCCATCCATACTTGTACCACTGTGGTGTTCCCACTTTTTGCAGTTATGTAAAGCTCCCTGAGTGATGAAGAAAGTCTATCGATTCTTCCACTCCATTGGAAATGTCTACCAGTTTCTTCAAAAAGTTGTGAACCAGAAAAAGAAACATTAAACTGCAATACAGATTGCAGCCTTTACCCCTAGCAATGCAGGGACTGGAGTGGGGGAAGAGGGGAGGGGCTGCACTCTCCTATAGCGTTTTTAGGCATGTTTTTTCAAGCCAAATGCCTAACCTTTGCTAGCCTTTTTTGTAGCATTTTGTAAGCCAAATGCCAAACCTTTGTTAGTGTTATATAGCAAAAGTCCCTAGGAAATGCCAGTTTATACTGCTAAAGAATGTGGTAAATGCTGATAGATTTTAGTTGTGGAATCATACTATTTAGAGAAATAATAAATCACTCAAGACGACATGTTTTCTCCCCTTGAGCAGCCACTTTTTCTTTCATTTCCGCTATGACATATTCCACAACCCACACACATCAAGTCACTAGGTTTTTACAGGAACTTCTGTGGTAAAAGCAAAAAAATTCCATCAAAACCAGACGATACAAAGCTGTGTGCATGTCCTGGGGCTGATCATTACTGACCCTGATTAAGAGCGGTGCACTGCTCTCTGCATTTTGTTCTAAATGGGAACTGCTGAGTTCTATTATGTTTATTACCTAGCTCAAGATTATCTGCAATATGTGCTTCAGGAATCACATCTTGGACCAGCCCAAACCAGGGTTGCTCATGTCTTGCGAAACATTGCATCTTCACTGCAAGCTCAAACCGAGGAGGCTCTCGGACCGTTCTTGGACAGGATTGATATTACTTCTGTAGCTGTTGCCAAGAGAATTTTCAATGGTGTCATGGAAGAAAAATTTGCTGATGGAAATACTAACTGGGGACGAATTATGACCATATTTACATTCGGAGGTCTTCTCACTAAGAAGCTTCAGGAGCATGGAGTTCAGCTCACTGGAGAGGAGAAGGAGCAGATTTCTTATTTCATCACAGAGTACATAATAAACAACAAAGCCGAATGGATAGATGCAAACGGTGGCTGGGTAAGTTTCTAGTTTTTCAATAAGGTCTAGATTAGGAGGTTTTGTTTATTTAAGGGAAACTATTGTTACGGACACTGTCAAAAACATTTTATTCAGGGTTTTATTTGGTGGTTTAGTATTTGATGTCTGGAATGTCTCCTTGAGACTTACAGTGAAAGCTTTGCTTCCGCTTTAAACAGAACAATGCTAAAAGACAACTTCGTTTTTAAAAGGCACTTTCTGTACCTGTAACAGTTGAAACTCTAGAGTTAGTCTTGAATCATAGGATCATATGATAATTCAGGTTGAGAGGGACCTTAGGAAATCATCTGGTCCAGCCTCCTGCTAAAAACAGGTTAAACTATCCATGCCATGAAATTTCTCATTATTGAATGTAAAATTAAGTGGCATCCTAAGGTTGGTGCAGCAATTTTGCTTCCTTAGAGGACATGGTCCAGAAATACTGAAGTTCAAGGTAAGGGAAGAACACACAGCTGTGATCCTCACAGCTGAAGTCAGTACTTTTGCTGTGGATTTCAACAAAGTCATTATTTAATCCCCCAAATCAGTTTTACTTAAACAAATTTACAGGTTAAGTGCAGTGGGGGTTAAATCTTTTCTGTCTGGACTGAGATAATCCTAGAACTTCCATCTATCAATGGTCAATGCTGAGAAAAGCATTTATCAATACGTGGATTTTTTTTGCCAAGCTGCTGAAATTCCCTTCTACCAGTGGAGGGGAGGTCCCTTTTGCTTTGCAGAGTTCCATTATGCCAATACTTTTTTCTTTTGCAGTTAGGGGAAGCTGAGAATCAATGACATCTGTGTCAGTTATTTCCCTGGTACTTTTTTCCTTTACCTATATGTAAATGTTACTTTCTCTTTCCACCCCTCTCTCATCCCACTTCTCTTATATTTCCTATTTGCTATTAATTTTTTCCCTCATTTGTTTCCTAGTGTCTTGCTTTTCCTTTTTTCTTTTTGCTTGTTTTGATCCTTGTCTGTCTGGTAGCAGTAAAAAAAAGGTGATAGTGAGTCATGGACCCTTGATGCATTAGATTTATTGTAAAGGCTTATCTCTCCAACTCTTTCAAATAAAGTCAATTTTATCTAAGAGAAGTATCAACTCCTGGCAACCTTCTGTCATAATGCGTGGTTCATCATAGTAGAACAAGGAGGCTTAAAGGAAGATATTTATAAGTGTATTACTACATCAGAACATAGTACTTGTATCTTCCTTGAAGATGTGGGCTCAGATGATACAGTTCACGTTCATTTTCTATTTACACAGGGAGGGCACAGTCTTGACTTGCAGATAAAACAAACATTCAGCAAGTGCAGCTATTTTCAGCTACTGTTTTTAAAGCTCTATTCATCTTTTGGAGGTAGAGCTCTGAAAACCTGTCCCTCTGTGCACAATGGTGTAGCACTCTGTTAATCTGATACTAGCAGTGTAGTGTGTTTTTCCTACATGTTATTTTTAATCTGTCCCTAACTGTGCATGGTTTTTTTTCCATAGGAAAATGGCTTCCTAACAAAGTTTGAAAGAAGATCACTACTATCTTTCTCCAAAATTACAGCCATGTTCATAGCTGTTTTTTCCTTGCTTAGGGAGTACTACTGAAATAAATGGACCTGCCATTCATGTATAATCTAGATATTGCCACAAGCTTCATTGCTAAGCTTTTATCCAAGCAATATCAACGGGAAAATAATTTTCTTCCATAATTTGTTTTTAACTTATTTGTATTTATTTTGACGAAATGCAACGTTTAATGTGCTATCCTAATTGCCATACCTAAAGATGAGATCCCTCTGAAGAGGAATCGACACAGCATCATGCAGCAATGCAAGTCAACCTTTCCAGGCAGGACTGCTTCAGGAGAGAGATCATTCTCCACATCCAGACAGCTCTTGGAATCTCTGTTGCACCTCCATGAAAGGACATTGTTTTACTGAACTACAATCCAATGGGTTAAGAAACAAGTTTTAATGTCATTTGTTTTGTAAATGAAATACTACTGTAATGCATTTTATTGCAACCTTTGTATAAGCAAAAGTGTGTGGGGGGGTGTTCTGTGTAAAGGAAGGTAATGCAAATTCCAATGTAAAAGTAGGTACAAGTTACTGGCACAGACTAAGCAAATTTTATGGGATGAACAATTTGTGGAAGCTAGCAACTTAAAAATGTGCACTCACTTACTGTTAATGCAATGGTATGTGTTTCTTTGTTGTTTTTTTTTTAATTGCTCATATCTACAGTGAATGTTCTTTCAAATTTGTGTAATGCAGTAATCTGGCTGAACTTTTTTTAAACTAGATGTTTTAAAATAGGCAAGTACAAAATATTTTTTAAAAGATAAACTTGTGTAAATACACTAATATTTTTGAAATACACATTAAAATATGTATTTTAAAGTCTTATGATTGGTCTCATTTCTTTCAGAAAAATTGGAGGATGGGAAGAGGTCTACCTGAGTACAGTAACTCTTAGAATGAAAGCTATCACAGTGCTACTGGAGAATCCAGGCAGTATGTGGGTTTGACCTGAAGTCTGTGGATGTCAAGACTTTAATTTTCTGTAGTACTTCTTAAGTATTATCTGGTAGCTTGTATAAGAAAAAGACAGCTTGTGGCAAAATAAATGAACTGGATCAGCTCTGATGACAGTAGTTAGTGTTTTGGGATACACTGCAACACTCAGCAAATTCAGCAGTAGGACCTAACAGACTTCCAGGCTTTTATAGTCTGGGACAACTACTGTTTTGACTCAAATTCTATTTGCTTTCAAAGGTCGAACAGTAGTTCTTCAAGAATTAATACTAGAAGTTTTCTTTAGCCGCAGTGACTCTCCTATATTAGGGAACTAAGGCTGGGTCTAAACATTCGTCTTCTTTTGTATATGTGTTAGGAGGTGAATCAAACTGAGGCAGCAGTTGCCTGTGGCACACAACAGCATTTTTCTCTGAGACAAATCCTTCAGACAATCAAGGCTTTATGATACCAGGATAATGAAGCAGCCTCCTTCTGGTATTGGGTTCTCCATCTTTCATCTCGATGTAAGAAATTTTTTACAGTAAGAACAATCATTTACTGGAACAATCTTCCCAGGGACGTGGTAGAGTCCCCATCACTGGAGGTTTTCAAGATGTGACTGAACAGAGTGCTAGATAGTTTCATCTAGGCTCCTTTTCCCATGAAAATTTGGACCCGACAATCTTTCGAGGTCCCTTCCAACTTGAGCTGTTCTGGGATTCTATGGTCTAACTTGGTGATTTAACTACAGAATACAAACAGATGTTAACATTTGCTAGAATCTGTATTGCTCCTTCTCCCTCTCTTTCCTCTCCCTCCCCAATGAAAACAAGATTATTTAGCATGTATAGCAGGACTTCTGAGATAAGCTTTGTTGCTGTTGAAGAAAAGATGGCAGCATCCTGAGGGCAAGAGGCAGCTAAAGGAAAATGCCCACCTTCAGAACACCTACAGAAGTTCCTGTCAGAAATTACATTTTAAAACATATTTTGACATATATTTATTATTTTGCAGTCTAAGTCTTCATGATAAGAATAGTAATTCTTACTCAGTTCCTTTTTGTGCACTGCTGTAAGCATATAGTGTAGTGGCTAACATCGGTCTATTAATACTACATTCACTTCCTTTTACACTAATCTAATAACCTATTTTATACTGGAGAGTACAATTTTTTAATTAAATATAAAAAGGCTAACCTAGCCTTTTCAAAATCTAGGTGATGCAATAATTTTAGAACTTGCCTTCATGGTAAGGCCTGGGTTTAAACAGAAGAAGCCTGGATCACTAATGGTCCAGTGGGCTCCAGATTGTCTTCACCAGGACAAAACCTCCATTTGCTCTGTATTTAAAAGCAAGAAAAGCAGTGATGAGATATACCACTCAGATTCTAAACAAAATGTCTGACAACAGGGCTGTTACACAAGTCTTATAAAATAGTTTAGATATGCTTTATTAACTGTCATGAAGTTGTCTATACATCACACTAAGCAGTATCCCAGCTCCCAGGGCACTGCTGTTTAAGGGATCCTTACAGCTGTCAGGCAATACACAGGAGAACACAATGGTGTTTCTATAGCAAAAGATGAAGTCAAAGAGCTGCAGAGTGGTACAGCTGATGACTTCATCAATGTGCACAGTAGCTAAACTGAGACGTCAACAAATGCTACATAGAACAGATTTATGAAAACAACTGTTCTCCTATAGAAACATCCCTTTTTGCACTTAAAGGTGGGCTGGATCACTAACTGTGCCAAAAAGACTCCTCCAGTGTCTCCCTTCGGACACGGCTATGCAGGCTAGCACACCTTCCCCGCAGGCGCAGCACCCAGGCCGTGAGGCTGATGGTGTCCCCAGCCGCACGCCTGTCCCACAGGTGCAGCACTTCCACACCACCTCACTCACGGCCCAGGCCCACAGGCAGATGCCGTAGGGATAGGAAACCGTTTGGCAGACGGTGGTAAAATATCCCGCCGAAATGTAATTTCCCTTTCGACAACAAAGTTAGGAAAGGGGAAATTCTTCGTAGTCTACGCCAGACAAAAAAATAAAGATGGGCCTTGTCAGAGGGTTGGCAGGGCCCACGCTGGCCCTCTAGCACCCTCACGGGCGGCGGTGGCTGGAGCCGAGTGGAGATGGCGGCCACCCAGGCCCCACAGCAGCGACCCTGCCGCCCGGCGAGCGGGGCCTGG